TGTGTCATGTCCTTCTTGTGCCCATGGGGGTTTCCTCCAGGTTCTCCAGTTTTGTCCAACCTCCAAAATATGCTTGTAGGTTTGTGGATCTCAAATTGCCCCTATGTGTGTACGAATGGGTGTGTGCCTACTTGAGTCCCAATCAAGATGTATTCCCACCTCCCAAATGTAATAAAACCATAATTATTGATTAAAACTAGTGTGTACACAGGTATGCCATAAAACGGTGGGAGTTTGGAAGATCCCAGGGGATCCCAAGCAGCCATTTTTTTTCTCCAAAAGAATAAAAGCAGTTCAGGGCAGGTGACCTAGTGGGTTAAATTTGTACCTGCATCCCTGTCTGTATGCTGTGATACCTGATATTTTAATTTATATTAAAATGGCAACAGTGGGCTGTTATTTATAGGTCCAGATAACACTGTAGTTTTACTTTGACCGTGTTAAAATTGATCTGACTCTACTTATTTTCATTTCATCAATGACTCATCCTCATTAAAAAAAAAAAAAAAACTTTTAGTATTTTTTCAACGAAAGGTCGAGAGCAGATATGTGACCCTTTTCTTGGCTCTTTTCTTTTTTCTCTTTCTCTCACCCTGCTGCTTTTGGCTACCTGATTTCATCCCAGGTGGTTTGTGACAGCACTCACTCAGAGGCTAAGCAGAAACAGAATCACTAAAGGTCACAGTAGTGAATCAGCCTTGGCTAAAAGACTGTTATTAGCATTGACATTTAAGAGAAAGAATGCCATCATACTACTCACCTGGTTGCATAATTTTATAACGCAGTTTACTATAATGGCATCCTAGAGAAGACTGTTGAAATAAGGTGCCAAAATTAATTTACATTTGCTCATTTGCCTGACGCTTTTATCCAGAGTGATTTACAATTGAGACTGGACTAAGCAATTGAGGGTTAAGGGTCTGGCTCAAGGACCCAAACTTTCGATCAGCAGCTCAAAGCTTTAATCACTGAGCTATCACTTCCCCTTAATGAATGACTACTGATTACTTTTTATAACATTAAACCCTTTTAAAGAGACACGTAGTCATGGACAGTTTTCACTGCACTAGCTTCTCGTCCTATAATAATTGGCAGGTAACATTGAAGAAACTGATATGATTAATAACCAAACAAATACTTTAGAGACGTCGTCTCTAGCCCATTCTCCGCAGTCAGACTGGAAACAACGGTAGTGAAATGTTGCTTTGATTATTTATCGTATGAGGGACTCCTTGAAGGGGTTAGCACTGTTGCCTCGCACCTCCGGGGTCGAATCCCGCCTCTGCCCTGTGTGCACGGCGTTTGTTCTCCCCATGCTTCAGGGGTTTCCTCCAGGTACTCCGGTTTCCTCCACCAGTCCAAAGACATTATAGGCATTATAGACTGCATTATAGGCTGACTGGCATTTCCAAAATTGTCTGTAGTGTGTGTGTGTGTGTGTCCCTGTCCAGGGTTTCCCCTGCCTTGTGCCCCGAGTCCCCTGGGAAAGGCTCCCGGCTACCCTGAGACCCCTTGTAAGATAAGCGGCACAGAGAATGGATGGATGGAGGCTCTCCTTGAAACAAGTTTGCATTAAAATCACACTCTCAGAGTGTGACAATAATTGCCTCACTATCTGGCCATGTAGTTCCAGCAAGAGTAGATGACATGTTCAATTATCTGGAAGGTAAATGCTTGCATTTGGGGGAAAATGAAAGACCAAGGCAATCTCAGCACAATGACGAGAAAATATTGTATAATGTTTTATTCAAACTTCAGAAAATGAACATTCATTAATAGTACCTGTCTAAGAAGGCTCAGAGTTAGATGCTCTTTTGGGGTGGATAATAATAAAGCACTTTTCATAGCTTAACACATTTTTCTTCTGTGAATGAGCTGCTAATTTCTAATCGACTATGATAACGCTGCTTAATGGAAAATTGTTGGAATTTTAAAACAAGCACTAAATTGTCATCCATTATTTCAGTTTTTTTAGATTTCCTTCTAGTACAATGTGAGTAAAGAGGGTTAGAAGGTACTAAAATTTACAGCTTCTTGCTTTGTGATATATGGATGCTCAGATTTGATGTTTACAGCCCCGTGTCATGCCTCAATGGCAAAACCATTTTACACCGCTTGTACGCAGGTGGAAATTTCTTGGAGCTCTTATAGTGCGTGACTATCTTAAAATAATTGCTGGTACAACACAATGCAAAAGAATTTTTGCTCTACATGATGCTGTCAAGTCAGTGGTACATACAAGTCGCCTTTGTGTTACACCACATTTATACCACAATATTTAAATCTCATTGGTTAGAAGGTGTTGATTAATTTTCTATTACAGCAGCTCTGACAATAGTGCTGACTGTAATTCAAATCATAGGTTTATGTTTATGCATTATATTAATGCATATCAATGTACACTATATTGCCAAAAGTTTTGGGACACCCCTCCAAATCATTGAATTCAGGTGTTCCAATCACTTCCATGGCCACAGGTGTATAAAATCAAGCACCTAGGCATGCAGACTGCTTCTACAAACATTTGTGAAAGAACGGGTCGCAGACCATGCTGAGGCGCACAGTGCACAGAAGTCGCCAACTTTCTGCAGAGTCAATAGAGATACAGACCTCCAAACTTCGTGTGGCCTTCAGATTAGCTCAAGAACAGTGCGTAGAGAGCTTCATGGAATGGGTTTCCATGGCCGAGCAGCTGCATCCAAGCCTTACATCACCAAGTGCAATGCAAAGCGTCAGATGCAGTGGTGTAAAGCACGCCGTCACTGGACTCTAGAGCAGTGGAGACGTGTTCTCTGGAGTGACGAATCACGCTTCTCTGTCTGGCAATCCGATGGACGAGTCTGGATTTGGCGGTTGCCAGGAGAACGGTACTTGCCTCACTGCATTGTGCCAAGTGTAAAGTTTGGTGGAGGAGGAATTATGGTGTGGGGTTGTTTTTCAGGGGTTGGGCTTGGCCCCTTAGTTCCAGTGAAAGGAACTCTTAATGCTTCAGCATACCAAGACATTTTGGACAATTTCATGCTGGGAACAGTTTGGGGATGGCCCCTTCCTGTTCCAACATGACTGTGCCCCAGTGCACAAAGCAAGGTCCGTAAAGACATGGATGAGCGAGTTTGGTGTGGAGGAACTTGACTGGCCCGCACAGAGTCCTGACCTCAATCCGATAGAACACCTTTGGGATGAATTAGAGCGGAGACTGCGAGCCAGGCCTTCTCGTCCAACATCAGTGCCTGACCTCACAAATGCGCTTCTAGAAGAATGGTCAAAAATTCCCATAAACATACTCCTAAACCTTGTGGAAAGACTTCCCAGAAGAGTTGAAGCTGTTATAGCTGCAAAGGGTGGGCCAACTCCATATTAAACCCTATGGATTAAGAATGGGATGTCATTAAAGTTCATGTGCATGTAAAGGCAGACGTCCCAAAACTTTTGGCAATATAGTGTATGTTGCAAATTTCCCCATTGGGGGATGAATAAATAATTATCTTATTCTAATACATTATAGTTTCTATAGTAACAACTAACACAGGGGCTTGTATGGTGAACACTCACATAAATAAACCTTAAAAATGTGTGTGTTGTTGATAAGGTGAAGTTATTTGTAAGGAGATGTTTAACATTTTTGGAAGGAGTCTCCAGTGTCAGTGCTCTGTAAAATTTAATGTTGGTCCTTTTAGTTTTCCGAGACAGGAAAGACTTCAGCACAAACAGCGGGCTTCTGTGGTTTCTCTGTATCATGACAAGCTGAGGTTTTGGTCTTACTAACTTCAAGATAAAGGCCAGTGAGGGAATGACTGTGTAGAGCTGCTATAACATAAGTGATAACAGGAACTACTTAGTTTTGTGGACGCTCCACAACAATATATGTAATGATCATTTTTTAAAAAATTATGTCATTCTATAAATAAAACTTTGTAAAAGTATAATAAAAGTAATCGTTGACAATGCACTGTGGTATAAGAGGAATAAAACACTTTGGGGTGTCCTGTAAAAGGAGTATAATCAACTTCGGAATGGTAATGGCATTATATTTTTATAAAAGCACACCATGTTTTATTCCTTCTTCGGCTGGGATAATGAAGCTTTATTGGCATATTATTTTTTAAGCCACAGGGAACTATCTATCTGAGAGAAACTAAAAAACTAGCATGACCCATTCACACAAGCCTCTCAGTGAGATACCGGTGCCAGCATTTATATTAACCAACCTCTATCCAATGCATTATTCTTCTGAGCATATAATGAAGGCCATCTAATTTCTTTTGAGCAGACATACCCCCTTCACCCACTCATTTCCTGTGCTTGCATCCTAAGCTGTGCATTTCTGGATGTTGCCTCAGGTGTAAGTGGATGGGCGCGTTGATAGACGAATGCTCGTCAGACTGGACCCCGTCTACTCACCTCTGAATAGCATCACTCATTAGCGCTTGGTTTTGTCTTGCAGCATCAAGCCGGTGTGAAACTGCCAAGAATCCTGAGTGGACTGACGAAGTGAGAAAGCAGTGATGAGGGAGCGAATTGTTATAAAGGCAACACACTAGTGATGTACAAAAGTGTAGCAAAAAGTGTAACAACATAATCTACCTCCAGGCATGAGCGGATGATGTTTATGTACGTAAGCTACATCAGCTGTCTGGGGAAAAAAAAAAAAAGAAACCTAAGTTTGAGGAGTGTCTACTTAACAAACAAAGATTAGATACAAGTCAGGTTCTGTACAAAATCTGTAAAACGTCTGGCTATACTGCAATGGAGATTCAGAAATATCTATTACTACTATTTCAGTAGACATTTTGCAGTGCACTATTAACCAGAATCAGACAAGCCCTCTTGCATATAGGTTAAAGAAGAGTGCTCCACATAGGCTTAAATTTAAATGAAAGTCCCTGTAAAATTGGTTTAATGATTATCTTCTAAACATTATCGATAGCTTATTTGGTGAACAATGGTTAAAGTGGCACACAGAGCTTGTGTGAGATGGCCATAACAAAGCAAGACATAGTTCCCTGCTGGACTAGTGGCTAACATGTGGTGTTTTTATCACCATGGCCCGGGTTCGATTCCTGGTTAGGGTTGCACAAGCCAGTGCGCTCTCAGTGCTGGTCCTAAGCCTGGAAAATGGGGAGGGCTGTGTCAGGAAGGGCATCTGGTGGAAAACTTGTGCCAGAATCAAAATGATCTGTGGTGACCCCAAACAGGAGCTGCTGAAAGATGGAGGTGGGGAAAAAGACAGTGTAACATAATGAACGAATAGATGAACTGTTTATTAAAGTCATCATTGAAAATGTGTCTGTGAGTAAGTTACAAATAGTCATAAGGCCGTAGCTGATAATTTAAGTCTAACAGACCTTCACCAGCTTGTGACCAAATGTTGTAGTTAAAGTGAAGTGCGTGTGTGTGTGTGTGTGTGTGTGTGTATATATATATATATATATATATATATATATATAAGAAAAGACATTTACTTCTATAAATGACTCACATGGGTATTATATATGTATATGTTGTTTAGTTTTCTGTCTGAATGAAAACCGGCATATATTACTGATTACTTTTTTTTTTGTAATCCAAAAAAACATGGATATTGAGTCAGGGAGAAAAAACATATCATATCATGATGTTCCTGAGCTGCTGTGAGTTATTGTATTTCATAGTTGCTGTGTCAGTGGTGTCAGGTCAGAATTGGCAGGAAATTACATTATACACCAGTCCTAACTTCAAGCACAAAAGAAGTGCCACTACATGGTGACTGGCAGGAGTCACCTGGCCATCTAAACGTAGAGACTGAGAGTGTAAGCAAACAGTAGTGAAAGAGTGAAACAGTCTGATATTACACTCAAAGAGGAAAAAGGCTAGTCAGAACTGATAGAGTTTTAACTTTTTTTTCTTGGTGAACAGGTAAGGCATTCATTTGTTCTCTCAATTGGTTGGAAGCTAGTGACTGATGGATGACAATCAGCTGATTTATCTTTGTTGTTGAACTTGTTGAACTCAGTAGAGACATTGTGTAGCTAAATTGTTAAATTGGAAAGGTCAGACTTGACAGTATGTTCACAGTTTAAGACAGTTGAGTGTAAAATATCAGAATTGAATTCTATCAGATATTCACTGTCATGTAGCTCCAAAGGTTTGATCCTGAGCTTGGGTTAATTTCTCTGTGGAGTTCTCCCCATGTCTGTATGAGTTTCCTCCGGGTTCTCTGGTTTCCTCTGACCTCCCAAAAACATGCCAGTTGCCCCTAGGTGTGAAAGTGTGTGTGTGCATGATGCCCTGTGAGTGACTGACATCCCATCCAGTGTTTATTCCCATCTCATGCCACACCCAGCATTCCTGGGATAGGCTCCGGCTCCACAAGCCCGACCAGGATAGAACGGTTAGCAGAGCTGCTGGAACAACGGGGGCGAGCTTTTAAAACTACTGGGACGGTGGGTGACCCTGCACTTCAGGCGATAACAGACAGGTCTGACTCGGTTGAAAAACCAATCAAAACTTCCAATTCAGCTGGGGGGTGGGACGTTTCTCCTAAAGGGGATCTCTTATGAGAGATCATAAATATAAAGGGTTAACTGCGCTTCAGTGCTCACTGGCACTTAATAATCACGTGTTAAATCAGTATCACTAACGTTTCAATATTTTAAGTGACATACGCATATATTCTGTATTCTGAATCGATTACAGAAACATTCCTCAAATGACATTCTTCAAATAAAGTAAGTAAGGCTTGCTGGAAAAACGTTTAGCGAAACAAACAGTTACTACAGAGAGAGAGAGACAGACGATTGTGGAACGTGAACATGTTTTGTTCATTTTTTAAAACATATTTTGATTTTTAATTTTTTGCTGTTATTAGCTGTCTGATTAATAAAATGTAAAATGAAGCATGTAGGGTCGAAATAAACTACTCTGACGTTCATTAAAAGGTGTGTTATGTCCTGTTATTGTATTATAATCAGACCCTGGCTCCATAAAGCACTAAAAACAAAATACACAGTCAGTCTGTATGTTTTTATAGACAAATCTCAGATAGCTCAAATTTTATTAAATATCATTAAAAGCATCAAATTTTGCCCCACCACTTGTGGAGTAGTGGTGCCACCCCTGGCGGTTAGTAAAAACGAGCGAATGCTTGAATACATGAATGAATGAATGTAAATGTGCTCAGCCATCAGGCTTATGTTGCCATGGAAACAGAAGTCCCAATCACTCAACTCAACCCCTGGCGGTTAGTAAAGATGAGTGAATGCATAAATGCATGAATGAATTGATGCATGAATGAATGAATGAATGAATGACTGAATTAATGAATGAGTGCATGAATGAATGAATGCATGACTTAATGAGTGCATGAATGATGAGTCCATGAATAAATGAATGCATGACTGAATAAGTGCATGAATGAATGAACAAACGAATGAATGAATGAATGAATGTAAATGTGCTCAGCCATCAGGCTTATGTTGCCATGGAAACGGAAGTCCCAATCACTCAACTCAACCCCTGGCAGTTAGTAAAGATAAGTGAATGCATAAATGCATGCATGAATGAATGAATGAATGAATGTGCTCAGCCATCAGGTTTACGTTGCCATGGAGACGCAGTGCGATAGGCGTGTCAAATTATGTAATCTGACACGCCTATCATTCACATCAGGCAGAAAATGTATTAAATGGTTTTCCTGGAGTTAGTATTATAGAGATAATTTAGGCTTTAGAACCCTTTGGACAGAGGACAGTGTGTGGTTAATTGTATATATTAAGGATGAAAGACAGAAGACATGTTTCATGTTGCAGTGATTTAGTGATTAGTAGCCAGAGAATAAACACCGCAGCACGTTACAGTCGCTTCATGATATGAATGAATGAAGCCATATTGGGCTACAACACCGGAACAGACCATTGACTTCCCGGTACACGTGCACGTTCAGGCGTTTATCATCCCTCTGGCTCTCTTTAGGAAACGCGTCTCTTAAGAAAACGTGAAGCACATAACTGCAGAACGCAGCGGCTGTGAGGAAGGAAGAGCGAGAAGTCTCGGGTTATTTATCTGGGGTTGTAGTAGTAATAGTAGTGCCCACCTTCTCTGCCGGCTCGCGCCCTCCTCCTCGTCCTCTTCCTCCTCCTCCTCCTCCTCCTCCTCGTGAGCTCGCGCCACACCGAGGCTGAGCGAGACGCACGCGGCGTTGAATTACAGCGCTCGCTGAAAAAGGAAGCGCCTGCTGCAGTCTCGGTGAGGAGGGACATGCACGCGAGCGGAGCCCGAGTCGAGACCGAAACGCGCGTGAGATTATGTGCTTGAGGCGGCTGTGAAGGCGAAGCACGCTGCAGAAAACATGCCGGGCTGGAAGAAGAACATCCCCGCTTGTCTTCAGGCCGACCAAGAAGGAGGTAGGAAAGCGCTTTCCCTACATCATGTTTCTCTGACCCTACACACACACACACACACACACACACACAGTGTGGTTTGACTGATTCGAGGCTCGGTGTAGTGTGTGTGTTTGTGTGTGTGTGTGGTCTGGAGTGAAAGTTGTCCATGCTATATTCCACTTCATGTTTCGTATTAAGGCGCTCATTGCACTAACTTTTCAGCAGTTCGGTGCGGGAGGAAGCGGCGCCTCTGCGGCGGGGAGTGTGTTTAACCGAGCCCGCCACACCGCACGCGCTTGTTCGCTTAGTGTGCTTCATGCTACAGTTACAGTATATCTTGCCTGGCCTCCATTCCGACTATCTCACATGGAAGTGCTACAGCATGTCCTCGCGAGCAATAACCGCGTCCGTGTTAAAAGTCCCCGCTGTGTGTTGTGCAGAACCGCGCTGTCGCTATAGACGTGCAGCTGAGTCCAAACCAAAGCGCCTTAATAAAGACTGCTTTATAGATCATGCGACTGTCGCTCATTGTTTGCAAAACATGCCTTGCACTTTATTATAAATATACCTGACTGAACACGTCTGAACCTGAGTGAACAAATCTGACCCTGACTAATCACAGCTGACCCTGACTGAAAACATCCCTACCCTGACTAATCACATCCTGACCCTGACTAATCACACCTGAGCCTGACTGAACACATCCCGACCTTGACTAATCACACCCGACCCCGACTGAACACATCCTGACCCTGACTAATCACACCTGAGCCTGACTGAACACATCCTGACCCTGACTAATCACACCTGAGCCTGACTGAACACATCCTGACCCTGACTAATCACACCCGACCCCGACTGAACACATCCTGACCCTGACTAATCACACCTGAGCCTGACTGAACACATCCTGACCCTGACTAATCACACCCGACCCTGACTGAACACATCCCGACCTTGACTAATCACACCCGACCCTGACTGAACACATCCTGACCCTGACTAATCACATCCCGACCCTGACTGAACACATCCCGACCCTGACTAATCACACCCGACCCCGACTGAACACATCCTGACCCTGACTAACCACAGCTGATCCTGACTGAATGCATCCCGACCCTGACTAATCACACCCGAGCCTGACAGAACACATCCTGACCTTGACTAATCACAGCTTACCCTGACTGAACGCATCCCGACCCTGACTGAACAAATCTGACCGTGACTGAACAAATCTGACCCTGACTAATCACAGCTCATCCTGACTGGACACATCTAATCCAGATTCAAGCATGACTAAATTCATCTGTTTCAGATCTAATCTTTACTAAACGTATCTGATCCTGACTGAATACGTCTGATCTTGTGCATCAATCCATCAATCCATCCGTCCAACAGTTTAATTATCAACTGCTACCAGTAACTTTACACATGATTGTCTGGTTCTGTATTTTGGCCGTGATGTGTTCGAGTCTCACGTGGATTAAAAAACACATGAGTCCACGAGTCACCATGACAGATCTGCTTTTAACACCATGCAGTAGAGGAGGATGTTTTAATCCATTCTGTAGGTCACAGGCTGAAGTATGTGAGGTATGGCAGGGAGTATGGCTTCTTCCCTTATAGCCGGGAGCCTTTTCAGCTGTTTGAGGAGATGTAATGACAACACACTGAACGCTGTATTGTGTTATCATTATGTTTAGTAATAA